ATAATTTAATTCTTATGTAGAGGGCAACCGATCACCTTAGGAAACATGTTTAATAGTGTCCTCTTTTTAGCAATAACTTCAAACAATGAGGTTATTTACTGGAGTGTGGATATGGCTTTGTTTATATATCATTTATCCCTCCCTCTCTCTATATCTCCTATCCATTCACCCATCCGTCTATCTATCTATCTACCTACCTACCTATCATCTATCTCTGTCATCTATCTGTTTTCATCATGATCTATCTAGCTTACATCTATGTGTATGTGTGCGTGTGCATGTTCACGTGTGTGTGGGCCAGAAACTGACACCCAGTATCATCTTCACCTTATTTTCTGAGACAGGTTCTCTCACTGAACGTGGAGCTCACTGCTGGGCTATCCTGGCTGGTCGGTGAGCCTCAGGGATCGTCCTGTCTCTGCCTGCTGAGTGCAGAGATTCTGAGGATGCCTGTGAGGACCGGGTTTTTGATGTCAGTCCTGTGATGGAAGGCTTTTTACCTCAGCTCTGGGTACCTGCATTCAGGTTCTCATGCCTGCATGGCAAGCATGCTAAGGACCGGGTGTTCTCCGCTTTCCTCTATTTTCAAGTGAATTTCTGGTGTAGACGACAGTGATGCAGAATTTTCTATCGAAAGAGGCTATTTTCAACTCTGTTAAAATGCTTATCACTGAACACCATCCTATATACATGAGCATTTTTCCTCTTCCTTCAACCTAAAATGCCTTTCCTTGCACATTAATTTTTTAAGTAAGCAGTGAGCTCAAATTAACTAAATATATTTTCTGTGATGGATATTTATGCAGATCCACTGGTCCTCGAGAAAAACTGTAGCTTGTATTACATACAAATGAAACTGCCAAGTTCTAAAATCAAGAATTTATCTTCTTGAAGTCTATCTCATCACAATCAACATAAATGATTAGTTTGGATAGAAGTGGAAATGCACTGCACAAATGTTATGGTCTGATTGTGTGTTCCCAAAGCATATTGAAAACTTGATCCCACATTTGTTGGTGCTGGAAGGCAAAGCCTTGTGTTTAGGTAATACGGATGGAGTCATGTGACTGATGGGAAGTGAGCTCTCTCGCTCTCTTCTTCTATGTGAGAACACAGTAAACAAGGTCCATGGTACAGTCTACGAACCTCATTCTAGACTTCTTAGATTCCTGAACTGCAAAAAGACAAAACAGAACAAACAAAAAACAAAGCAAAACAAAACAAAAATAAGTTTATGTACTTTACAAAGTAGTCTCAGATTCCCTGTTAAGATGGCATAGAATTGACTATGTGAACAAAGTAGGTCATTAAAAGATGATTAAAACATGTATATTAAAAGAAAATTATTTTTTAAAAGTGCACACTTATCACTAGGCTTGGAGAGCTTTATTTTCCTTTTATTTATGCAATAGCTGAGCTAGTTTGGGGGTCCTTCACAAGAGATATTCAGTGTAACATTGTGACTATTTTTTTATTGCAGTGGAGAAGACTCTACGGATATGTTACCTTGCAAAGGTAAACATTTTTTAAATTGTTAGACTTTAAGCGATTTAATTTGCTTAGATATTAAACTTTTACAGGTATGTCAATCTGAGTCATTGTAAATGTTGTTTTTATTTCTTCTGATGAGTGAATTAGATGAAAGCCATACCCAATCTTTATGATTATGTAGCTTAATCTGATCCCAGAGCGTATTTATCTAAATGTCCCTAGGCCTAGGTCTAGAACCTTCTAGCCTCTGTACAATCTAATCTTGGGTAAACCTGGACCTTGAAGTCTTCAGCTTCTGGCCCCCATTCTTCAGTTAACCTAGGCCTAGAATGTTCCTGCCTCTGAGATTTACTGCTGAATAAGCTCACCTCTTATAGCTGTTTCTGAACTCTTTCTGGCTGGTTCAACTCAGCTGTTCTGGCTCAAACTCCTCTCCAAGTTGCCTAAGTCAATCCGGCTTCTCTTGGCTTCTGACTGAATTGCTCTGCTTAGAAAAACTGACTCTGAACTCCACAATCTGAATTGCACTGACTGCAGGAACGGAATGGAACTGCAGGAAGTCAACTGAACTCCACTGCCTTCAATTTTTGCACTGAACTCAATGCCCCTCTTTCCCTGTACTGCTCTTAAGTAGCCTTTCCTTTCTGTTCTCATGAGAGTTGAGCATATCCTATCTCTGATTCTTTCAGTCAAGTCCTTTTCTTATTCATCACTTTGTCTGCTGCTCAATTAGACATCAGTGTTTGGGATTAGAGGTCTGTATTCCAGTCAGAAGGATTAAGGGTGAGTACTAAGGGTGTGTCTGAATTCCGGACAGATCACATAGACCTAGAAGGTCTTTGGAAGTGATCCCTTACCAGAGCAGCTATGTTGCTAGATTAAAATTCCTCTTTAAGTCATAGTATTTTTTCTTTTTGAATAGGATCTCACTCTCTAGCCCAGATCATTGTAGGTCTCACTGTGGAGTCAGGCCAGAGCACTGAATGTGAAATCATCCTCTGTCCCCAGCCTCCTGAGTGCTGGCATTTGAGGCATGAACCAGCATACCAGGCTCACCACATATTTTCAGGAGATCCAGAGCTCTGGGTGATGAGGTAATGTTCACTTTCTATAGCCGTTTCTGATGCTAAGTCTGGAACACAAAGGGAGCTACATTTCTGTTGCCTCCCTGTGAGCAGTACTGTTCATACAGTCTTTTAAACCTTTGCTCCACTTCAGTCATAAAGGAAACTGAGTTGATATGTTATTTTTTCCTCTTCAGTTTTGCTCATCATCTTTTAATGCTTTGTTGTCTTTTCACTTTTATCTGATTTTTACAGCAAGATCAGTGGAGTCAGTTGGCTGGAGGGGTTTTCTGTTCTTGGCTATCTTATATAACTAACCCTGGATGTTTGTATTAGGATGCTCTTATATTGACAAAGAAACAAAAAAGGTCTTTCATTCATTGCTTGTGTACCAGTTCTCCCTGGACATGCACATTTCATCCTTTATTTTTCCACATTTTGTTTTCAAATTTCTATGTCACATTCTCTAATTTTATGCTTTTGAATCATAAGAAATTTTTGACTTCTTACTCTTATCAGTGTGATTACTTCTCAATAACTCATATAAATTTGGATCTAGTTGATTTCCCTAGAGTTTACATCTTTGTTTCCCTCCCTGTAAGTTCTTCTCATCACTCTCCTTTCCTTTTTGATTCTGTCATGTATTTTCCCAGAATACAACTAATAGTATGAAACTGAAGTATTTCATTAGCGGTTTATGCCACTAATATAAGATAAAAGTTATCTTTCTATAGTCATAATAGTTATTATATAATGTGACTAATTATGTTATTAAAATGAAAAGATGGAGTTTATACAAAGAGTTTTGCAATTATTATGCTCTCAGTAAATGTTATCTCTTACTACAAATGTTTGGGTTGCCATTATTACTATTGTTAAATTATTTTAAAGTTGACATCTTTTTATATATTGAACTTATGACATTAAAGAAGGGAGTAGCTAGACAAGAAGAGAATAGATGGCAGAATTTTAATATATTTGGTAATTTTTCCGGCATTTCAAGTTTACTATTCTCACATCAATCATTAATAAAAAAAATTTCCCATGGATAATAGGTAATCCCTCAACTAAAGCATGTCAAGTTGACAATTGAAACTAACTTTGCCACCAAATAGTAGTATTGATAGCAATATTTGATTTGTCAAAGATGCTTCATTCCACTTCCATCCTGTTGCTTTTCCTACTTGCTGGGATTCCATCCTTACAATGTTCATAGAATTATGGAATACTAGTCTTTTAAGGCTTTGGCTTCCCCTGCATTCTGCCTGTCCCCATTGTCTCTTGAAACATACAAACAAATACAGAGAACATACTCTTCTTGTGTGTGTGTGTGTGTGTGTGTGTGTGTGCGCACATGCGAGTGTGTGTAAGACATAGTTTGAGTTGCATCATGCTCTCGATCTATCGGATCTATTGCATCACGATCTATTGGAGTCCTAATGTCCACTACTTCTTGGATGATTCTTTTTTTAGAGATGATCAAGTTAAAATGAGGTTATTATCATGGGGCTCTATGTAATGTGGCTGATTTCTTCAAGGAAAAGGGAGAATTTGGATACACAGATAACATGCCCACAGGAAGAGAGTGATGTGAAGAGAAGCAGGGTGAGGACAGCTATTTTCAGGCTCATGTTGCTGATTGGATTACACTCCACTCCCAGGGCTGACAGAAGCACCAACCCTGAACCCTGGAACTGTGGGACACTCCATTTCTTTTGGGTAACCCCTCAAGTTTATAGTGCTCAGTTATGCCAACATTAGCAACATAAACAAGACCCAATAGACAGCTGAGTTAAGCAGGATTTGGCTGATGCTTGGCGTTGCTTTGTCGCTTGGTTGTTTCAGATAAAGGAAGCTGAAGTTGTACTTTTTGGAGCATTGTGTTCCTGGGATAAACTTTTAAACTTGTTTTGTTTTATATAACCGTGATGTGGTGGCTGGAGACCTACATTTGAGTGAAGAGAGAAAGTGGAGCCTTGTAGAAGACACAGGGAAGGAGATCCACTGTCACCTGTAAGCAGACTCCTGTCAGCTGTCATTAAGGAAAAGATGCAATTGGCTTTAGATTCTCTCCCACTTGTTGGGAGGGGTAGGGTAGTGGGGAGGTAGGGTGTGGAGAATGGTGCATAAAGAGAGCAGGTGAGAGCTCCCGAGGGGGCGAGATTGGAGCTGCTCATCCTAGATTCCCCAGACCCACCCACCCACTCTGTAGCTGTGTGCTCAGGCGAGTGGTGCTGAAGGAACAGCTCTCGCAGAGGCTGCTTTAGGGCGGGGGTGGGGGGAAGGACCAAATCTGTGGATCCAGATCTCAGCTGGGAGCCTTCTCTTTCAACCGGGTGAGCCCCCCTGTCCTCCGGTCAGCCTCCGCTCCAGGCACAGCCGGCTGGGCTGAAGGTCTGCGGCGGGGTCAGGCTGCGCCAGCTGGACCCGCCCCGAGCTCCATGCTTCGCCCAGCCCCGCGCGATGGTGACTCTGGGCGCGGAGGGTGGCTATGGGAGAGCCCGCAGATCGCAGCAGCGTGAAGGCGGGGAGCGCGGGGGGCGGCGGGCGGGGACTGTCTCCCCGACCTCGGCACCCAGAGAAGCGGCTCAACCACCTGAACCCGGAAAAACGCCAACAAGTAGTTTCTCCTTTGAGGAGGGCGTCTCAGCTGGCCGCAGAGACTCCGTCCCGCTGCAGGAAGAATCTCGTCCACTCGGAGACCCAAGCAGAGCCACTTTTCTCCCGGTCTCCTTAAGGTATCCGGGGACGAGGAGGGGAGAAAGGGAAGGGCGGTGCAGGCGGGCTTCCTCTCCCTCCAACCCCCCATGCCTAGCAGTTAAGAAGGTGCATGTGAAGCCCTAGGGAGAAGCTGGAAACAGCCGGTCTTCCAGCTCAGGGACCCAGGGGGTGTGCCTCCAGCGGCTTCTCCTGGGCCTCGCCCCTCCTCGAAAGCAACCCCCACTCTCCACCCCCAAGATGTTTGTTTTTCTTGGGAAGGGGGAGGGGTGGGATAGATTGCTCACTTTTGTCCTCAAAGATGGATCCTAGTTAGCCGTTTCCTTTCCCAAGTAATAATAACATTAGCAACAGCGATAACCGTAATGTGGAAAGGAAATGGGACGAGGAAATTAGTCAGCGGTCTCCTTGGTGAAAGGCAGCGGCGGGGACGCTTGTTGTTATTGTTGTTCTGACTTCTCTGTTGAGTCTCGTGCCTGGTAGGCGAGGGAGAGCGGAGCGGGCAAAGGGCACTGCCCTAGTGCCGGGGAGAAGAGAGCCGTCTAGGCTCGAGCAAGGGTATGCAGGCAGCTGGGGCACCCGAGTCCCCTGCCTCCACTTCCCCCCCCACCCAACACTGCTAAGTTGCAGTAGCGAACACAATAACTCCCTGACGGAGAATTGCATTAAAATCAGGGGAGGGGCTGAGAGAGAGATGGGATAGTGGGGAAGGGGAGACAAACGGCTAGAGAAAAAAGACTGGGGAGTGAGCGGTGGGAGGTTTGGGTGAGGAAAGGGAGACTTGGGGCTTAAAAGCAGGTTGGATTTGATAGGCATAGGGGGGAGACATGGTGGAGCGCGGAAAGGAAAGGGAGGTCAGAGCCAAGGGTGGACAGTGTGCCGCAAGAGGAAAGGTTTCCTGGAAGGTCAAGGAAAACTCTACTGTTCTTCATTCTCTGGGAACCTGGGCCGGGCATGATGCAAGAGGCGGGGACAGGACTCGGACCCACAGCTACTCCTGGGAGGGTCCTTCCCACTCGCCAGCTCTGCATCTTGGCACTCTTGGGTTGAGGTGGGGGCTGGCGGTGGGGGCGGGGGAGGGTCGTGGTGAGTATCTGAGCCACAGAGCTTTAACTTGGCGTTGTGTTCGCCTCCCCTAGTCATGTCTGAGCCACAGAGATGGGCAAGATCGAGAACAACGAGAGGGTGATCCTCAATGTCGGGGGCACCCGGCACGAAACCTACCGCAGCACTCTCAAGACCCTCCCGGGGACGCGCCTGGCCCTCCTCGCCGCCTCGGAGCCCCAGGGCGACTGCCTGACGGCCGCCGGCGACAAGCCGCAGCCGCTGCCCCCTCCCCTCTCTCCGCCTCCGCGACCTCCTCCCTTGTCCCCTGTCCCCAGCGGCTGCTTCGAAGGCGGCGCGGGCAACTGCAGTTCCCACGACGGCAATGGCAGCGACCACCCTGGGGGAGGCCGCGAGTTCTTCTTCGATCGCCACCCAGGCGTCTTCGCCTACGTGCTCAACTACTACCGCACGGGCAAGCTGCACTGCCCCGCCGACGTGTGCGGGCCGCTCTTCGAGGAGGAGCTGGCCTTTTGGGGCATCGACGAGACCGACGTGGAGCCCTGCTGCTGGATGACCTACAGGCAGCACCGTGACGCGGAGGAGGCGCTGGACATCTTCGAGACACCGGACCTCATCGGGGGCGACCCCGGAGACGATGAGGACCTAGCGGCCAAGAGGCTGGGCATTGAGGATGCCGCAGGGCTGGGAGGGCCCGATGGCAAGTCTGGGCGCTGGAGGAGGCTGCAGCCCCGCATGTGGGCCCTCTTTGAGGACCCCTACTCGTCCAGAGCCGCCAGGGTAAGACTTTGAATCTATGGGTCCCGGTTGCTGCAACTTTTTCAACTTTGTTTCAAACTTTGGTTCTTTCCTCCAACAGCCTCTGAGATGAAGGGGGAGAGAAGAGCTCAGTAGAGATGGCTTTCCGGGGGCTTTGTGTGGGGTAGGGAAAGCCCAGAGACCCTTGCACCCTCCCTGACAGTCACTCCACTGACCTCCGATTCAAACATATTTGCTCTAGCAGATGGGAACCCTGGAAGAGTTCTTGAATGTGTTCTAATGCCGTTACTGTATTCACTTTAGTTCTGACCTTAACTTTTTTGTTCCAACTTTTTTTTTTTTTTTTTTTTCCTTTAGCTAGGACGTGTTTTTGGAGCCTGTTGCCCATTCTGATGTGACATTTTTCACTGAGGCCTAACTCTCAGATCTGACTCTCTGGGGCAGTACCTACATTAAGGATCTAACCCGAGGACTGAGAGGGGGAAATGGAATCTGTGTGACTGGGTGGAGGTGGGGTGTGCTGGGAGGGCCCTTGTGTGAGGACTATGCTTCTGGCCTTGCCTTTTCCCAAGGGCGAAGACTGTGTTGTTGGAACTGTTCCCAGCGATCCTGCCTGCGCTCTGGATCCTCAAGCTGGGTGCCCATTCCTCTCTGGTGTGTCTGTGTTCCTTACAGGTTGATGGTGAATTAATCACCTTGGTGAGCTCTCTTTTGCTGAGTAACTCGGATTGCAGAAAACTTTACCTGATTTTTTTTTTTTTTTTTTTATGTTATAGGCTTAGCCCCAGTGTTTCTTTTTGGTTTCTAACTTAAGTGAGAGATTAAATTAACCCCACGTCTTTCCCAGTTAGCTTCCTGGAATCCCATGAAGGGACTAGAGAAATCACCAATGGCGGTGTCTCCAGCTTAAAGGAAATAGGAGAAATATATGTAACCAAAAATTATGCAGGGTATGAATTGGCCTTAATTGTGTGTGAGAACAGAACACTGAATTTAGTAAGTCGTTGCAACTGCACGTGTCTTGTTTTTGCTGCTCACGGAAGACCCTCTCCCGTACAGGATGGTGATTTTCTCCTTGTCCAACTTTGGCTCTCCCCTTTTGGCCAGTTTTCTGTGCATGTCAGAAATCCCTGCGTCTTAGCTATTATGCCACTGTCTGCTCACTGACATCCAGAGAAAGGTTTCTGACATTACTTCAGAATCTGCACATTTGTTTGGTTTTCAGGCAGAAATAGAACATAAAAGAGATCGTGTAAAACAGTGCTGTTCTCTTGGGCATGCCCTTTTAACCCATACATTAATTTTAGCATGGTCCCACATTCCTATATTCAAACATGGAATTACTAATGTTAATCCTAAATTTTTGCTTTTAAAATTATTCTCTAATTACAAAAATGGCTTGCCTTTAAAAATTGATTATTGATAGCTGGGTGTGGTAGTGTATGCCTTCAATCCCAATGCTTGGGAGGAAGCAGAAGGTGGATCCATGACTTCTGGGCCAGCCTGGTCTGCAGAGCTAGTTCCAGGACATTCAGGACTACACAGAGAAACCCTGTCTCTAACAACAGCAGCAGCAGAAATACCACCACTACCACCACCAACAAAAGTGCTAACAAAAAGTGATAAATAAAATCACAGGCTCATGACCATTCCTCTCTACTTTTTGGTTTTCATCTGCGTGCCACTATGCTCCTTCCACTTGGTGCTTAAAGAGATAATTTGATTTTGTTTATAGACTCTTCAAGTGACTGTTTTTTTTTTCAGCCTGTATATAATAAAGCAGCTGCCTTATTATCTTTCTTCCCAACGACATAGCATGATATCCTCAATTTGTTTTGTATTTTATAGTAAGCCAGGTTTATCGAGGTACATAACTTTTATCCTTACTATGAGATTTTATTCAGTTGATTATTATTGAAAACGGTAGCCCATTGACTTGACAGTCACTGGGTTTAAAAAAAATCATAATTAGATTGTGTTGTAATTACATGGAGGATTTGACTTGTATCTGTTTTAGATGAAGAAAGAATCAAGAGAGTAGCACAAGGTCAGGATTGGGTAAAAGCAAAATCAGGTGACAATCAATCACCAGCCTGAAATCTGTTTTAGAAGTCACTTAGCAAGGACCTTCTCTTTCCTAAATGAGATGAGGAAAATGAAGACTGAGAAGTTAAGGAACGGTCAAGGTCATATATCAAATCATTAGCTGCACCCGGTTATTTTAATGGTGCCATGGCATCTTCCCAGCTATCCCTTTCCATAAAACCCCTGATTATAACTGACTGGACTGTGCAGTTCCCTCACAGCCTATTGGTCTTGTGACTCAGTGCTGCTTAAGACATTAATTAGAGTTCCTACTTGGAAAGGTGGTTTGTGACTCTTTAAAATACATCCTTGGCTGCAGAAGTTTTACATGGCACCAGTTGACAAAGGAAGAAAGATAAGTGAACCCTTAAGTGAACCCTGCTGGACATTATTGTTTGTTATTGACCAATCGGTGACCAATATGTGGCTTCCCTTTGTGGACTTTGAGTTCAGGAAAGTACCTTTTCAAATCATGAAGGGTTGCTTACATCAGAAGACATAGTTTAATTTACAAGTGAAGCAATATTTTAGCTCCAATTATGGCCTGATCTAGTGATATCAGAATATTTCTTCACACAGAATACCACTGAGAAGGTAGCAGGATAAAACTGTGTGTAAATGGAGTGATTCTAAGTATAAGAACCACATCTTTTTGTTTTATTGTCACAGATCTCATTTTTTAATAGTTTGTTTGTTTATTTATTTGTATATTTATTACAATTTATTCACTTTGTGTCCCAGCTGTAGCCCTCGCCATCTCTTCCGAGTCTCCCCCCTTCCTTCCCCCTCCCATGCGCCTTCCTTAGTCCACTGATAGGGGAGGACATCCTCCCCTTCTATCTGACCCTAGCCTATCAGATCTCATCAGGACTGGCTGCTTTTTCTTCTTCTGTGTCCTGGGAAGGCCCCCCCCCCCCCCCCCCCCCCCAGGGAGAGGTGATCAAAGAGCCAGCCACTGAATTCATGTCAGAGACAGACTCTGTACCCCTTACTAGGGAACCCACTTGGAAACTGAGCAGGAGATCTAGGTCCTCTCGATGCATGGTCCTTGGTCCTTGGAGTATCAGTCTCTGCAGCCCCTCCCTCAGCCCAGGTTTTTTGGCTCTGTTGGTCTCCTTGTGCTGTTTCTATCCCCTCCAGGTCTATCTCCCTCTTCTTCAATATGTTTCCTGCACTCTGCCCAAAGTTTATCTATGAGTCTGAGTATCTCCTTCCATATCCTCATGGGTAGAGTCTTTCAGAGGTCCCCTGTGGAAGGCTCCTGCCCTGTTCCTTGTCTTCTCCTACTTTTGATGTGTATCCTGTTTGTCCTTCTAAGTGAGGTTTCAGCCTCTTCCTTAGGGTCCTTCTTGTTGTTTAGCTTCTTTAGGACTATAGATTTTAGTATGTTTATCCTATATTATATGGCTACTATCCACTTATAAGTGACTTTATACCATATGTGTCTTTCTGCTTCTGGGTTATTTCATTCAGGATGATCTCTAGTTCCCACCATTTGCCTGCAAATTTCATGATTTCCTTGTTTTTAATTGCTGAGTAGTATTCTGTCATGTAAATGTACAGTTGAGGGACATCTAGGTTGATTCCAGATTCTGGCTATTATGAATAATGCTGCCATGAACATAGTTGAGCAAATGTTCTTGTTGTATGGTTTAGCATCTTTCCGATATATGCTTAGGAGGGGTACAGCTGGATCTTAAGGTAGTACTATTCCTAATTTTCTGAGAAAGGGCCAGATTGATTTCTAAAGTGGTTGTACATTGTTACATTCCCACCAGCAATGGAGGAGGTTTCGCTTTCTCCACATCCTCTCCAGCACATGTCATCCCTTGAGTTTTTGATCTAAGCCATTCTCATGGGTGTGAGGTGGAATCTCATTCTTAATTAAGTTTAGTATTTTATAAACTTTCTACCTTTACATTATCTTAAATTTTTATTGAAATATGTAGGTGAACAATTTTAATTGAACTTCATTTTCAATTTCTACACCCATTTCTTTGCTTTATTTTACACTATAGGAGATTGATTCAATTTTAAAAGAAGCGTTTTTATTTTTATGACCTACACTGTCACCCTAAAACACTAGTGGTAGGAAATGGTAATTGACTTTTATGACACTGTAATTTTGTGTTTTGTTGGCTGGTATATCTTCTTTTTTCTAGAATTTAAAATTATGATATTAATACATATTTGAGAGATTTTAATATTCTAGAGATTTGGTCCATATGTTAATATGCCAAACTTATGTGTTATTTTTCTTAATAGGAATTTTTTTAAATTCCATATAAGTTGTCATGGAAATCTGTTGTAGGAAACTGAGATAAGAAAAGAAAGAAGAGATGGTCCCATTGATGGTATTGACAATATTTGCAAACAGTGAAGAGCAGGGATGGATTTGTGAAAATGCTATGTATTCTCTACCTCCAACTCAACATTTACAGTTCAGAGTATGAATGTCCATTCAAGATCCAGCACCATAAGAAGACACAGCAGCTAGAAATTTCCTGGTAGCACTTCTAGGTTTTTTCAGAGTCGCTATTACTCTAAGTATAAATTTTCAGATTTAGAATAACATTCTAAAGAATTTGTTTCCAATTCTAAAGGGCGGGGGTGGGGGCGGTTAGGTTGATCTCTATTCTTCCCTTTTTACTTTGTAGGCAAAGCTAGGTGACTGACCTCAATTCTGTTTGAGTGTGTGACCCCTTTTTACATGTCTTTCATGACCTACTTGGTTCTTTTACTTTTCATTGTAAGGTTCAAAGAACATTTTTCCTCTTCATAGTCATACATAGTTCTCTCACAAATGAAGTTTACCAAATGTGATTTTCTTTTACAAAGCTTGTTTCTTCAGTTTGTATCTACTATTTACATACTCTACATCAAAAATCTGTATAAAGGGAAGGCTAGAAGAAGATGCAGTTCTTTGCTCTCATTAA